CCCGCGGGCCTCTGCACCCCCGGCCGGGCCTCTTCAGGAGGCCGTCGCCCTGGGCTTTTGCTCGCGCGCGCCGCCTGGGCCGAGAGGCCGCCGCGGGGTCCCGGGAGGGGCCGGCCTGGAGCTCCCCGTCCGCCTCTTGTCGCCGACGCAGTGACCGGGAGCTGACCTCCGGGACGCGCCGGCGGCGATGGGCGGCGAGGACCTCGAAGCCGAAATCCACCCGCTGAAGAACGACGGCGGGAAGTGGCGGGGCGGCCCGGGGGCCCGGGCGGGGAAGGGCGGCGGCCCGCGGAGCCCGGCCCCGCAGCCGCGCCTCTCCCGCTGCCGCACCGCGGCGTTTTTCCTCTCGCTGTTCGCCTGCCTCCTCGTGGTGTTCGTGGTCTCGTTCGCCGTCCCGTGTCCGGACCGGCCGGCGCCGCAGGGCGCGTGGAGCGTCAGCTACGACTCGGCGGGTACGCCCCGCCCCGGAAGCAGCGTCCGCGAGGCCCGGCCCGGGGCTCCTGGCGGGGCGGGGGCGGGGCGGGCCCGTAAGGGGCGGGGCCTCCGGGCTACTCCGAAGAAAAGGGCAGCGGCGGAGCACCCAGGGCCGAACAGACGGAGAGGAAGCCGCCGCGGGCCGGGGAGGCTCCGGTGGGGCGGCCGCGGTAAGGCAGGCGCGCCCCCGCCCTCCACGAAGCCGGCCGGGGTGCCCGCCCTTCTGAAGAGCTGCCCAGGCGGCGTTTCCCCGGCCCCGTGTCGGTGGGTGTGGGGCCGAGGGCCTTGGGGTGTCTGCTGGGCTTGAGGGCGCCTCCGGGGGAAGGAAGGAATGTCTTGTTCGAGCCTCACAGCCAATTTTGTTCAGAATTTGAGAGGAAGGAGTGTTTTCCTGTGCTTATTTTTCGTGGCTCTCCCGAGGTATGACTCGGGGGTCATAATTTTCGCCGTCCCAAAGTACATGGTTCACTGAGTCTGGGTTTACAGAGCGACCGCGCAGCGGTCACGCGGCCCGGCTTTGGGACAGGCCCGTCACCCCGGCAGGGCCCCCCGTGAGCGCCCCGCCCCGCCCCCTGGGCTTCCGTGTGAAGGGGGGTCACCGTGGTATCTGCTGCGCCCAGCTTCTCTCTCTCAGCGTCGGTTCATCCTTTTCACTGCCACATAGGATTCCTGCGGATGGCTGCTTATTGTTCGTCGTTCGCCAACCCGTGAGCATTTAGATCATTTTTTTTTACTTTTATGAATAATACTGCTGTGAACATTTATGTGCCAATCTGTGCGTGGACATATGTTTTTATTTCTCTTGGGTAGATTTCTAGCAGTAGAATTGTTGAACCTCGTGGAACGCCCATGTCTGACTTTCTAAGAAACGGCCAAGCTGTTTTCCACGGCAGTTGCACCATTTCACGTTCCCAGTCTAGCGCAGGACTCCAGCGTCTCCACACGCTCGCTGACCCTTGATATTGTCTGTCTTCCTGAGGACAGTCATGCTGGCGGGCATAAAGCCACATGTCATTGTGGTTTGGATTTGAATTCCCTAATGACTCATGATACTGAGCATCTCCACACATCGTATTTGGTGAATGTCTACTCAAATTCTTTGCTCCTTTAAAAACTATTATTGTTTTATTACTGAGTTACAGAAGTTCTTTATAGATTCTAGACACAAGTCTTTTATCAGATAGATGATTTGCAAATATTTGTGACCAGTCTGAGACTTGTCTTTTAATTTTCATAAGGGTATCTTCTGAAGCACAAACGTTATAAACTTTGATGAAGTCAAATTTATCAGTTTTTTTATTATGGATTGTGCTTTTGGTATCTAAGAACTCTGCCTAATTTGAGGTAATGAATATTTCCTAAATTTTCTTATAAATTGTATACATTTAGATCTTTGACTTAGGTTTATGGTCTATTTTGAGGTGTGTGGTGGAAGCAAATGCTAGGATTTCTGGAAACCATCACCTTCTCAGCAGGACAGTCTCAGGGCAAAGGGGCAAGCTTGGCTCCTGGCACTGCAGGGCTACCGAGTCTAGGGGAGAGTCACTCAACATCAGCGTCCAGGTGCGCCAACACCACTGGTTGAGAACATGATCCTTTTCCCAGCAAACTGCATTGGCACCCTTGATG